AAATTGAAGCTCAGAATCACTGTTCGCAGCATTGACATTAAAGATTGCTTTGAGGGATACCTTGCGCAGCGCCGCAAACTCTTCGAACCGCCGCTCTAGCAAGGCCACGAACCTGTCCAGCTGCCGCTGAAGCGCCGGCTGAGCCGCCCAATGCTCCGCGTCCGCAGGCTCGCAGAGCATAGCTTCCTGCTCCAGCAAGACATCTTTCTGCTCCTGTCACAGCTTGGGAAAGCTCCGGTTCATGAAGTTCTTGCCGAACGTCATCTCTGCATCACTGCTGGCAGCAGAGACATCGAAGATGGCTTTCAAGAATGGCTTGCGCAGCGCAGCGAACTCTTCGAACCGCCGCTCTAGCAAAGCCAGAAACCTAAAAAATGCTGCTCGAGCGCCGGCTGAGCCGCCAAGCGCTCGGCGCCTGCGGGCGCGCATCACACAGCTTCTCGGGCAAGTAGCGCTTCCTGCTGAGCATCTGTGAACGTATGCCCCTGTCGCTGCAAGTAGCGATACCAAGCTGCTCTTTCAGGGATCGCCGCGCGTCCTGGCCGTGCCTCGCCAGTTCGCAGTAGCTCCCGCAAACTTTGGCAGCGCAGTCGCTGCAAGTCTGCCGCGTGTAAGACGAGGTAAGAAAGTAGCTCTTCAAACCGAGTCGCACTTGCCATGGCACAACCCGAGCGGATTCAAGGAGACCAACGAGTTAGGCTAGCGATGACAATTCATAAGCTTCTTCTTGCGTGTATGTTTGCAAGCTGAAACAAATACCACCAATAAACACCTTCGCCTATGTGTGTCATGCGCATTCTTCTGAACCGTGTGTCTGCGTTGAGCGTGTGTGTGTGTAGAGCGTGTGTGTGGGCGTGGCCCAATTGGGCAAACGACGATGAATCGGATATGTCTTCTTTCTATGCGCTAGGATGAACCAGATGATATAAACACCACAAGCAAAGAACATGTCTTCTGTGTGTCTGTGTGTGTGTGCATGTGTGGTGCGTAAGTGTGTGTGGGTGTGAGTCGTTGTAACCAATACTCAAAACACCGGAGTGTCTCAGTAGCCAGGGAAACGGCAGCGGACATGAACCTACGGTCGGCTCCAGCTAACAACCCTAGCAACGCATGCGTTGCTTCCCCTTTCGTGACCACAAGCAGCGCACGCCCCATAGCAAACACTAGGTAGCACCTAATCCCTCTTTCGCTGCAACTTGCCAATGCCCCCGACGACGTGCCGCTAAGCACATCCAGCGCTTTTTCTTCTCTCAACCCAAGAATCAGAATACCTTCGCTGCTGACACAGCCTGAGCCAGCGCGCGTAGCAACTGCGTGGCCGCGTTGACTGCTGCGACACGACCCCGCGGCCGGAGCCGGCACGCGAGGCGACTTTTCGGCTCGAGTCCAAGCCAATCTGTACTGCTCCGACACGACCACACGGCCTGAGACGGCCGCGCATCATCTTGCTCGGCTCGAGCCGCTGCGACGCGGTCACGCGGCCTGAGCCGGCACGTGTGGAGATTTTTCGGCTCAAGCCCAAGCCCAAGTCAACTTTTGCTGCCTTGACATGACCACGCGGCCTAAGACGGCACGCGTGGCAAATTTTTCGGCTCGAGCCGAAGCCAATTTTTGCTTCCTTGACGTGACCACGCGGCCTGAGCCGGAACGCGTGGCAGATCTTTCGGCTCGAGGACCACGCAGCCCGACCCAGCTCGCGCGGAGATTTTTCGGCTCGCGCCTGAGCCAACTTTTCCTGCGACATGACCACGCGGCCTGAGACGGCACGCGTGGCAGAGTTTTCGGCTCGAGCCCAAGCCTTTTTTACTGCCTTGACAACTTCACCTTCTCTGTAACATATCTAGCCACCTATGCATGTGTCATTCTATCTGCAGATCCATGTGTTGATCTTTACATGCCTCTCTATCTATCTATCTGTCTACTAGGCACCTATCTCTCTTGCTCTTTTTCTGTCTATCTATGTATCCATCTTTGTATCCATCTATCTAGCTATCTGTGTATCTCTAGCTATCTATCTATCTATCTCTCTTTTTATCTCTATCTATCTATCTATCTCTCTTTTATCTCTATCTATCTCTCTATCTATCTACCTATCTATCTATCTATCTAACTATCTACTTTCTATCCAATCTATCTTCTACCTTATATCCAATCTATCTATCTATCTATCTGTCTATCTCTCTCTCTCTTTATCGATCTCCTTGCGAAAGTGCTGCCCCTGCCACGAAGTCAGCACTTGACCTTGCGAAAGTGCAGTCGCTGCCACGAAATCTGTACTTGACCTTGCGAAAGTGCTGCGCCTGCCACGAGATCTGTACTTGACCTTGCGAAAGTGCTGCGCCTGCCACGACACCGCGAACGTGCTGCACCTGCCACGAAATCTGTACTTGACCTTGCGAAAGTGCTGCCCCTGCCACGAAATCTGTACTTGACCTTGCGAAAGTGCTGCCCCTGCCACGACATCTGCACTTGACCTTGCGAGCGTGCTGCGCCTGCCACGAAATCTGCCCTTGACCTTGCGAAAGTGCTGCGCCTGCCACGAAATCTGTACTTGACCTTGTGAAAGTGCTGCGCCTGCCACGACATCTGTACTTGACCTTGCGAAAGTGCTGCCTGCCACGACATCTGTACTTGGCCTTGCGAAAGTGCTGCGCCTGCCACGACATCTGTACTTGACCTTGCGAAAGTGCTGCCCCTGCCACGAAATCTGCACTTGACCTTGCGAACGTGCTGCCCCTGCCACGAAATCTGCACTTGACCTTGCGAAAGTGCTGCCCCTGCCACGCAATCTGCGCTTGGCCTTGCGAAAGTGCTGCACCTGCCACGACATCTGTACTTGACCTTGCGAAAGTGCTGCCCCTGCCACGAAGTCAGCACTTGACCTTGCGAAAGTGCTGCCCCTGCCACGACATCTGTACTTGGCCTTGCGAAAGTGCTGCACCTGCCACGACATCTGTACTTGACCTTGCGAAAGTGCTGCCCCTGCCACGAAATGTGTACTTGACCTTGCGAAAGTGCTGCGCCTGCCACGACATCTGTACTTGACCTTGCGAAAGTGCTGCCCCTGCCACGACATCTGTACTTGACCTTGCGAAAGTGCTGCCCCTGCCACGAAATCTGTACTTGGCCTTGCGAAAGTGCTGCGCCTGCCACGACATCTGTACTTGACCTTGCGAAAGTGCTGCCCCTGCCACGAAATCTGTACTTGACCTTGCGAAAGTGCTGCCCCTGCCACGAAATCTGTACTTGACCTTGCGAAAGTGCTGCGCCTGCCACGACATCTGCACTTGACCTTGCGAACATGCTGTACCTGCCAAAATCTGTACTTGACCTTGCGAAAGTGCTGCGCCTGCCACGGAATTCAATCCTTGCGAAACCTTCGCGCTGCCGTGCCAATGGGCCCGCGCTGCGAACGTGATCCGACAATGGTCCGACCAGGCGCCCCGAACAGGCTAGCTTTCAGTTCTCCGGACATGCAAATTCACGCACAGTTCTATTCTCCCACCGCACGCGCGCGCAGCTTTTCTCGCGCGCTTATTCCTTCTCTTGTCATCTGTCTCAGGGAGAGCTGGCTTTCAATTAGTTGCCGTAACACGGAAGTTCCTTCTAAACTTCCTTTGACTATATACACATATACTCACATAATGCGGAGCAGTTTGACAATTGACGGCAAAGCGTGGCCCTACACAAGCCGCCTCAACAGTGATGCGGACTCGCGGTTTGTTCCATGCGTTGGTGAGGGGTCACCCTTCAAAAAATCGTTTGGCGTCTGGGTCTTGCGGAGAGAGGGAGAAAGAGAGAAAGAAAGACAGACAGACAGACAGACAGACAGACAGACAGACAGAAAGAAAGAAAGAAAGAAAGAAGGAAAGAAAGAAAGAAAAAGAAGAAGAAAGATAAAGAGCAAGAGACAAAGAGAGCGAGAGGGACAAAGAGAACGAGAGAACAAATCTCGCAAGTAAACAAGAAAACCACAGCGGAACAAACAAAGAGAAAGGGAACAAGAAAGAACAAAACCAGACAGAAAGGGCAGAAAAAAAGGAGAAAGATAAAAAGACAAACCGACAGACAGAGAGAGAGGGAGAGAAAGAGAAAGATAAAGAGACATATAACGAGAAAGAGAAAGATAAACAAAGGACAGACAAAACAAAAAGCAAAATATGAAGAGACAAAGAAAGAGAGAGGGAGCAAGAAAAGGTAGAGAGGGAGGCCAAGAACAACATAAGCATAACGAAAACGAAAACAAATACAGGGCAGAGAAAGAACCAGATGAAAATATAAAAACACAGAGAAAGAGAGAACCGAGAGCAAGATCACCAGAAAGATCAAGGCATAAAAAAGAGAAGATTAGGAGACATGTAACAAAATACAAGAGAAAGAGGGGACAGAGCGGATGAAAAAGAAAAGAAACAGAGAAAGAGACGGAGAAAAAGAGAGCATAGAAAAAGAAAGAAGAAAGAGAAACAAAACAGACCAAAAGAGAAAGACAACGAGAAAGAGACAACAATCAAAACAATCTCTCGCTCCAAACTAAAGGTGTTGTGTGTTTGAAACTTCCGCTTCGCCGGCTTTGCTGGTATACTTGCCGGGTAGGCAGCCAATGCGTAAAGAGGTGTTGAGCAACATCCTAGCAAGCGGGTAACCAGCCCTTATTTGTGATTCTCACGTAAACAGCCCCGACAAACCCCTTAGTTTGCCCACTTGCTGTTTTGTCGCTTTTGGGCGCCAAACCGGCTGGCGCGCAAAACAACCGCAGAGGGTATGACCCCCGTGCCCCCCCCCCCAATAACTAAGCCCGAATGAAACCTTAGCAAGCCCTACGAAAAACGTTGCAAACAAGTGAAACTTTGAAGCGAATTTCGCAAAGTGTTTGGGAGCAAGCCAGATTGAAATCCTTGACTCAGCATTGTTCCATTTTCTACGGGTCTCATTGTTCGGCGCCTGCGACATGACACCCTTCATGCTTCACGCCCTTCCAAGGCCCTCGCGCCTGACGGCGTTCACCTGGCCCTCAGCGAGTTACAACAAGCCAGCCCGACGCCAACCTTCACCCAACCTGCAACACCAACCACCTTAAGCCGCAACCTAAACCCGCCAAACTCTCTAAACCAATCCCAAGCCCGGCCGAAACCGGCCTTAATCAACAACCCAACCGCAGCGCCACAGGCCACACAAAAAACCGCCATGAGCGGAGCGTGTGTGTCGCCCCCACCTCCCCGTCCACAGCCCCACCAGCTGCCACCTCCCCCTTCAACTATGCCGGCCTGCTGGCTTACTCATGCAAAAACAATGCGAAAGTAACACCGGACGGATACCAAATATTCCAACGCCTCAGCCACACGTGGGAGGGACCCAGGACGCAGGCATGGATATATATATATATATATATAATATGCTTTGTGTGTACAAATTAATATACACATATGGAACCCCCTCAAAAAACAGTAACTTTTGCGATTTTCACCTTTTCTCAGGCACTTCAATCGAGCATTTAACTATGCGCGCATCTGCTGACATTTGACTGTGACTGCGCCAGCCTAAAACACTTGAAAAGGCTTTAAAGCACCTTTTGGATCTAAGATTCAAAATTCAAGGTTCCCACAACTCTAATCTTGAACCCAGTAGGGCACCCCCCAAACACTTTAAAGCACGACTTCCAGGACCCTAGATCTTGAACCCGTGATGAATCTTGAATCTTAGATCCAAATGTGCTTTACAGCGCTGTGAAGCCTTTGGGGGGGTCGCGTGCTGGATTCAAGATTCAAGACCTGGAGTCCTGGGAATCTTGAATATTGAATCTTAGACCCACGAGCGCTTGAAAGCATCTGCTTTCAGTCATTCCTGTTTGGGTGCACCTTATTACCCTCTGCAACTTGCGCGCGGCGAATGCAATTGATAGTTCAGCATATGGACATTGGATCTGGTTGTTATGGCTTGAACAATTCCACACCAAGCCTTGGATATTGAAAGACCGCTGCAAATACCAGTGCGCTGCATGCTGTTTGGCAGGCTTTGCGCAGAAGATGTCTTGTTCAGAGACATCAATCGTTCTAGGCATTGGTCTGGACGTATGACGTGTGAACAGATGTTTTGGCATTGGCCGAGGTTTGTGAGCTGATAGACGAGGGGAGTTGAGATGAGAGATGGAGGGTGTGTAGCAGATGTTTTGGTATTGCCACAGGTTTGTAAGTTGACAAACGAAGAGGATTCGCGCGTCAGAGCCGAAGAGGTGTCGTCTGCCTTTGTGTTTGGTACACTTGCGCCGGTACCCTCGCAGAGAAGTTTTACAGCCAATTGAGCGAGGATAACGTTAGCGATGAAGACTACTAATCTGGACACAGTGAGAGAACATTAGGTTTCTAGTTGGCAGCAGATGTGGCTGACAACTTTCGAAAACCTCAGAGATGTATGTGTGACGTCTTACTTATTGTCTAGACCCTGCTACATATGACACATTACCTAACTTCGCTTTTACACTGCGCCAAACTTTTGCTACTGATGCTAACTGTTCAACTAACTTGTGTTCAGATAGATTGAGTTTATGACCGGCTTTTTCTTGGGCGGGGGGGGGGTGCACAGATACATATGGTCAGCCCCCCCCATAAACTACCTTTTCATGTTTCTTTCATAAAATGACTACAAACACCAGGTTTTCCATAGTTTGTAGCTCTCGACCATGAAAACACGAAAGCAAACAACACGGATTCCGTTTTGATATGCCTTCTTGCAGACATAGCTCAAAATTGGAAAAATAGGAAAACCCTTGTTTTTACGTTCTTTCAGATGCTACCACTACGAGTGGTAAAGAACGCGTTTTTGGAGCATCTTTCAATACATTCAAAGCTTTGAACATTATATGTTTAAACAAAACCAAAAAACTCGAGACAACACCAAAACTCAAGAAAACACAAAAATCTGAGGAGAATCCTTGGTTTGGCCCAAATAGTTGTTTTTCTATTTTCTCGATTCGTGTTTGTCTTGGTTTTCCACAAGTTTTTTCAAAAACAAGAAAACCCAAGGCTTTGTCGGTTTTCCAAGTGGGTGGGCGCAGAAAACCGAAAAAGACTTTGTTGTTTGCTGTTCAAAAAAACACAAGGACAACCAAAAACCAAAAAAGAACCTCGAAAAACCCGAGGAGAATCTTGACTGTGGCTTGATGTTTGTTCTCTCGAAATTTTGGCTTTCCTCGGTTTTTCCTTCTTGTCAAAAAAACAATGCTTTTTTGCTTTCCAAGCTTTTCGGTTTTCCAAGTGGGTGGGCCCAGAAAACAAGAAGAAACCCAGGTCTTTTTTGCTTTTCCATCTGGATGGGCCCAGAGACGATACCAAAACACTCGTCAAGGACCACAAGAACATTGCTGCGCTCACCTGTTCCGAATGGAACTTGGCAGTGATCAACGAATGTCAACTCACCAAATGTTTCTGCTCTGGAATTTGCACTGTTCTCCCGACATGTGGCGACGTTGCAAGTGAAGTTCCCTTAGCGCTTCTGGTTCGGAGAGTCGTGGGTGTGCGCGTCTCAGTGCAAGTGGCGGTGTAACTGGTGGTTCTGTGGGAGCATCTGGTGATGCTTCTTGCGGTTGTGCAGCGGGGTCTTTTGGCTCATCGGCGTGCCGGCCTGGTGCTGGGACGATCCTGTCTACTGGTTTGTCAACCTGAATTTGCTCTGCTATGGTGGCCTTGCCGCCTAACTGTGTTTTTCTGAAAGGATTGAAAGCGGCCTCTTTGGCGCTTGCCCTTGTCTTTCTTACCTTTTCGCCCCTTGCCGGACTTAAGAGTCCGACTTGGAAATCTTTTGAGAACAAGAGCATCATGGTCCTCCAGCTGCCAAAAAAGCTTCTTCATCATCTAGTGGACAAAAGCCCTCTGCACCATCTTCATCTTCTACCCAGAACCCTGCTTCTTCTTCGCGATCTCCTTGCTCAAGGATATAGAAGGTCTTGGATCTGCCTCCGCCACTCGGACGGACATGTGGGTATGGTCTCATATGTGTATTGAGGGAGCTGAATACCTCCACGGGTCAATGAAGATACAATTCGTGCTTGTTGGCCTTCTGACAGCTCGCTCTGTATGATGAAGAACAAACTTAACATGTTGTCGGACAATGGAAAAGCCTGTGAATGCTCTTGTTTCTTTCCCCGCGCAAACCTCTCAAAGTTTTCTGGTTGTGCTGCATCGAGGTAGGTTGGATCGGGCGCTATGAGTGCTGCGGCTCCTTGCGGCAGACCCTGCATCATCCCTGCAATCTCAGCAATTCTCTGATTATGCTGTTCACGCAATCTCTGATTTGCGACATTGATTGCGTGAATACTCTCAGCATGGTTTCTGTGAACCCGGGCGCCGTACCTTCCCAAGACGCCCGCAGTCTTCGCAGGAGAATCTCGAATCTGCTGATAAGGGTCACGAATCAGAATTACCTCACGATGATTGAAGAGACTGAAGGAACCTATAGAGGAAACCATGCTGCGCGTTTTCAAGATGTATCCGCGAAGGAAATTCAGAAAATCCGCCGACGCCAGTCGAGCGTGTAGATGGCAGTCCGCAACTTGGTCTTCCTTCGGAATCTCTTATCAAAGCCGAAGGCTTTTAGGACTGCTATTTTTTGGGCATGCTGCGCTACGTGTCCAAAACCCTGTATTTTTCAAGTGTTTTTGGGTCTTTCGTGCTAGAAATCTGCGTTTCGCCTAGGTCTCTAGGGGGGGGGGGTTTCCCCCGGACGCGCAGGATCTGCATCCCCAGCATCATGCAGGATTATCTTGTTGCCATGATTTGTTTCTTTTGCTTGCAGATACTAGTGGCGTTCTGCTGTTTCAAGCGATGCTGGAATTGGCCTGTTGGGGGTTTGGGTGAAGCCAAGTGCAGTGACACTTGAGGAACGGTTGAAATCTGCAAAACATGAGTTTTCTTGCAATTCCCCACCTGTACGGAGTACTGCGAAACATCCCCTGCATTATCGTGCTTTTGGAAGTCTATTCTTCGGGTATTTGAGGGGGGTTGCTAGTATCGTTTTTTGATGGCTGCTTTTGGGAAATATTGAAAAACCCTGATTTTTTGCACCTTTTTGTGGCTAGCCGGCTGCATTCCCAGCATTCCCCACAACTCTCGTATTTTCTGTGTTTGGTCAATGTCGCGTGTGTGAAAGTCTTAAAATCGTGAGCGTGGATTGGGTTTGTTCTTGTAAGTTGTGTGGCTGCATCCCTTGCATTTCCAGCATCCTCAGCATCTCGGACCTGAAAAATGACCTAGGCAAAAAGACGTCTTTTTCCTGACCCCAAACTTGAGGCACCCTGCAGTTTGTTAATGGGGGACTGTCCACTGGCGTCGGCGGATCGCGTAGCGATTTCAATACTCCATGCCAGTGTCCAGGTCTATGAGTTTCTCAATATCCACAAGTTCGCGGTGTATTGCTGCGTCCTCGACGAGGCGGTCCTTGAGGAGTAACCGTGAATGCTATTTTAATATTGTGCCAGACCTTCACACCGAAAACAACTAACGCGGCCGTCGTGCACCAACTAACACGGCCGTCGTACGACGGAGGCAACTTTGCATTCATCGAAAGATTGATGGCCCTCTCTTCATGGGGACTCACGCCCTTATGACGGCTTCCTAAAGCCCTCTTCACTCGACATCTTGCGTTCGGAGCACCTGCTCCGCTACCACAATTGAGGTTGTTAGTGCGGGGGCCCAACGGGGCCGGCAATACACCTCGTAAGTCCTCCAAGTGGATCTACTCCAACGCAAGAGGAAAAGAAATGTAATGAAGGATCAAGTGGCGCGAAGTCCACAATCTGTCATCACAAGTCTGAGCTACACACCCTGCCGTGAGTCAAAAGGTGGCACAAGGAGATTGCTACATGAGTGCGTCGTGTGACACAAGCACAGAGCAAAATAAGAAACACCCTCCCCCCAGAGCCCACGCACTTGCAATACATATGCTCACACCCCACCCATGATCCCTTTGCACATCTTCCACGTTGGCAAATCTACTCAAAAGCTACCATCCAATAGCTTTCTGCTCATTTGCCATCTTCCACCTTCTCGAATCTGCCCCACTACTGTCCATTACCTTTCCACGCGCTTGTCACACTGCAACTAGCTTTGGTTAAAACCCTGTTTGCAATTGGTTTCCTACTAAAATTAACATCAAAATAGACATTCAAATTCCATTTAAATAGCAATTATCTTTGAGCCTGATTAGGAAAGCGCTTCCTACATTCATCCTCAATTAGAATGGACATTCAGCTGCACATGTGTTGTTCTTTAACTCTATTACAGTTCTCATTCAATGATTTAAATCGCATGTAACAGGGGCTTAGATTTACACTCTAGTGGATACAGCAGACGTAGTTGAACTACTCCCTTACCAAGTTCTGCTCATGGACAGGACAGAAGATAGACATCTAATGTAATGGAAGTCGTGCTTTCTCATATTCTACGCGCGTTCCGTTAGTGAATGTTAATTTCACATCACATATGGAAAGAACTTCTCCTTTTCATTCTCACGCAGCATAGAATTTCTAATAGACTTTCTTCCTTGACTAAACCGCAGTTGGAATCCAATTTGGCATAAGGGGCCCGAGAAGAGCTGCGCAGGGAGCAAAAGGAGTCTAACAAGCTTTACCGAAGCCTTATGAGGAGTTTTACACGGACCTTGTACAATGAGCTTTACAAGGAATGTTTATACGTAAGGAGCCTTCAAAAGAGCTGCGTCAGGAACTTGAAAGGAATTGTTGAATTCCAACCTAACATTGCTAACGCTGAACATCTAGTTCGCTCGTCACACCCGTTCACTGTGGCTGCGAATTGGCTTCATCATGGCAGTACCAAACCTGCCCAAAATATGGATATGCAAAAAAACAATCAAATCGTAGGAAACCAACCAGTAAAAAGCAAAACTCAGGAAACCAATAAAAACACAACCCAAAGTTGGCTTTGCCAAAAGGCTGTTCTTTGTGATTTCCAGTGTTCTGTTGTTTGGTTTTCCCTGAGTTTTGTTGGGTTGTTCAGCTCTATCCCTTCAAGCAACCAAAAACAAGGTCACGCCGCCACTAACGGCGCGGAGGAATTCACAACACTAGCAAACGCCCAATCAGGATTTCTGGACATGAAATAACAACGCCATTGCTTCCTACAAGCAACCACACGTGTTGCGCCGCAATTGGTACTTATGCGAGCATCGCCACCGCTCGGAATTCAGCCCGCCCTTGTTCTTAGCATGACGCAAGGTGGCAGCCACCTCTGCACGTCTTTCCAACCTTTCAAACATCCCGAGGCAAGAGAACATTCTTAGCAAACTGCAGCGAACTATGGCTCGCAGAACTGAATTGTACGTCATAGTCTTGGAGCCTTCGGCGGACCAGTTGTAGTTAGCAAGATTCGATGACACACGCTGGGGAACATAAAACTCCAAACTTGGCCTGCGTGATACTGTGTCCAGGAGTAAACATGTGACTTGAGCCCCGTACGTTATTACCCCACCCCACCCCACCCCACCCGCCCCACCAAAGTCATCAAGGCGCCGACCACAACAGCGCGAAAGGCGGTGGGACGTGTTCGTATAAAAATGCGCGAGATGCTCCGCGCTGTGGCGGGGCGAGCAAAAAACAACAACTAGGGTCCTCATGCAGAAGGGCCCCAAACCAGAAAAACCAGAAAATGAGAAAACCGGAAAACAAGAAAACCAGGGTCTAGGAGACCCTTTTTCTGGAGGACCTTTTTTTTTGGTTCTGGTTTTTCGGGTTTGGGGTTCTTGGACCCAGTTTTCTATTTTTACTGGTTTTGGGGCTCTTCTTCCGGAATATCTCGATTTTGTCCTCTTCCAGAAAGCCCGGGAGTTTCTGCAATTTGGCCGCTTTTCCCAATGTGGTTGAGTTTTTTTGGCTTGGGGGGGACCATATATTAAATTAAATCTATACACATACATAGATCCTGCGTGCAAAGCTACCAGAAGAGGTTCAGCAACAAGCTCCATTTGACTTGCCTCGCGACACCATGGGCAGCTAAGGGAGCTGCAGCGGGATGTCTCGGACACCGCTCCACTTTGAAGGCGCCTACAGTACATCTGCGCGAGGGGTTCAAAAAGGCCATCTGCCAGGCCACTTCTCAGCGGGGGGGGCAAGGGATCAAGGCTGGCGCTTGCGTGTTTGCTTCAAGAAACCCATCGGTATTTAACCTCTGAACCATGCCAGCCTCAAACTGGTAGGCTTCCATGAAGGTCAGTAATGCAGTGCTGGGACCGTCCTGGCGTATTGGTGAGCACGGGTCAACACTCACGTTGCGGGCGTGGTTGGTCATGGTTCGGTTTCCTTACATAGTATCAAACTAGTCATAGTCATTCAAATGTTGATGACCATCCCCACCATCCTTGGCCCAGTATCACTGCTATGTGTCAAAGCCAAACGACACAACTTCTCCAAAATTCATTTTTCTTGAGGATATATTGCTGACCCTTCCTCGTAAAAGAACTGTATACACGCCAGCGTTTTTTCGCACATGCGCTCCCCCGCGCACAAACCAATCAATCAGCAAACGAAGATGCCAATGCCAATCCGTCCTGGAAGCCGAGCATGTCCTGCGTGGCCTCCGAGGGAAGTGGGAAACAAATTGACCCCATGGGTTCGGCCCTTGAACAAGTGCTTATGATTCAGGCAACTCATGCAAAGCAAACCATGCTCGCGCTAAGGCTGTACTGGGTCACTTTCGCTGGATTGAAACAGCATCCGTGGACGCTCGGCCTTCAGGAGTCGTCGAGCCACCCGCCACTCCCCCTGGGAGTAATTCTGGTACCTGGCAAGGGAGCAAGCTGTTCCAGCTCCCGAAAATGGAAGATACCCCTTGTTGACTGCTCTGAGCGAAACAAACGCTCATCAGCCACCTTTTGTGATCACCAAAGGACACCCCCCATGTCTATGATCACAACGTAAAAAACAAAGACTTGCTGTCTTTTGCAAGTTCCCGCCCCTCCCCCGCTTGTGCTAGAGGTCCAGTTTTCTTGGCGGGCTTTTGGGAGCGGGTTCCCCTTTTTTTCATTTGTCAGCATGATTCGGAGCATGCGACTGCACGGGAAACAACTATCAAGTTGCATTGCATATTAGCAGGGGCTCTTTGAGGCAAAGATTGAAATGCACCAGGCGGACACCAGCACTTAAGGGTCCAAACCGGCTCGTTTAGACACACTGATCAACATCTGAGCTTGGCAAATGCAGGGCAAATGTGCGACTAGCGAGAGCACCCCATGTTGAAGAGCTGTTGGAATTCCGTGGTATAGAGCTTGCGCATAACTTTGACGTCGGCGCTCTCGAAAATGAACTCTCGGACCTGGCGAAAACATCAGCAACTGTTTGTGAATGGCGCCATGGGTTGAAGAGTAGCGTGTGGAACGGATTAATTGCAGACCCAAGCTCCAACCTCGCTTACTCTCTTTGACCTGCACCTGGTCCTGCATTCTGAAGCTGTCTCCAGAATTGGTCCCGCCCTTGAACATTTTCAACACCCTGAAATGCCTGGCAATGGCAGACAATTGCAGGCAATGGCAAAACCACGTAGCTCCCCACCAAAGCTCCCCCCAAAAAGGATTCAGGAATTATGAGAGAGTGAGATGACACGTGTTCCGCAGATGCGCGCGCAGGCTTCGCGTTTTCTTTTCGGGCCCTCTTTTGGCACTTGTCTGGGGGCCCTGTAAATGGTGCATTTCTTCGGGGGGTGGTCTCTGAATTGCGTAAATGGCCAAAAACAAAATAAAACTACACAGTGTCACAGAGGGCAGAAGCCACCCACCCTCACCCTTTGGGTTGTGGGGACTGGCCTCTACATTGCTCTACACATGCAATGCAGTTGCAGTGTGACCAGGGTGTTTAGGCTGCCAAAATGACAGGCTTATTTGGCTTATTTGTTTTATTGAGACAAATTCAAAAACACTTTGTTCGTTTGAGAGGGGGGGCTTTGGGGGCCGTCTCACGGGCAACCCAGGGCTAGCAAAAGCAAAAATAAGAAGGAAAGTGCCCGGCACAAAAGCCCATGCCGGGCTGGCCACGTCTATGTCACCTGCCCACTTCCTTGTCTTCTCTACCTGCCGCTGAAAATGATCTATGGAGGAAAAGAGGGTTGGAAACAAGTGCCAAGTATCATTCAAAACGCGCATCATGCTTTGTGTGTCCGCGCTGCCCTGTCCACTGCGAAAGAAGAAGGGAAAGCAAAGGGTTGATGCAGAAATTGAAATTCCAAATTTCCATTTAAAACCAAAACGGGTTTTCCGTGAAAGACACAACAGCCGCCTGCCTCGAAAAGTTGCCGAGCTTTGAAGCGCTGGCGGACATTCCATTCCAGAACGGTACTGGCACGAGCGAAACGTTTGCGTCACTTGCTACAGCGCACGCAGCGGTTCGGGCATGTCAAAAATCAGACATGCCTGAACTCGTGCACCGGAAGACGTTGCGTCTCCTGACGGAATCTGGAGACAGCTGGTAGTCTGATGCCAAGCTACTTGTGAACGAATTTGTCATGACGGGAATACGCCAAGGACTGCGCATAGAAACTCATCATCTCTGAGTCATGTGCCACATCGTAGGCGTACAGGCTCAAGGGCACTTTGGACCCCTTCATGTTCACCTGCATTTTGGCGGAGGTGTGCAAATCAGAATCTCTGTGACTCTTGCCACGTTGCCACGGGCCTTGTCAATAAGCCTGCACTGTCTCGCCAAGACCTGCCGGAGCAGGGCGCATAGAAACGCCAAAGTTCACTACCCCCGAGTCATGTACTGGCAGAGCCACATTTTCTCGGACAACGCCCCTAACCGTGTCGCGCACTCTTACCAACTAGGGAAATGTTCACATGGTCAGCTCCCTTGCAGCGAGCAGTCCGGGATTCCTTCCGGCAATTGACACGGCCTGGCCTTTGAGCACAGAGACACGCATTCTTGGGATGCAAGGAGGCTCACTGTGTAGACCTGGCGCGGCGGCAAAGCAAGTCTGAACATAGTAGTCTTGACATTGGGCCGTTTCCAACAGTGCGCTACCATTGACCATATGTGAATGAAAAAAGGAGACCAACAGGTTGTATATTTCCCTCAACACACTATAGATATGTTTTTGAGGTGTAGGGGCTGGTCAGTTTCACACTGGGTTCGAAACTCGAACCTTGGGCAAAGTGCTGTTCCCTTGCGACGCGCCTTATGATCGCTATGTGTGTTTTCCCCTCGCCTCCTCATTGGTTTTCTGTGTTTTCAGCAGTTGTCACCTAAGTTCCCGTAGTTTTCCCGAAGTCTCGCCGTAGTCTTCCTTCCATATTTCCGCTGTCTTCCTGCTGCATTTCCACAGTCTTCCAGTGGTTTCGCGGTCCGTAGCCTTTTTTAATTGTAGCAGTATCTTCTCTCTATGACGTGGCCTGCAATGGGCTGAGGGTTTGCTAGGTTTCCGCAATCGCTCTTGGGTAGATATCGGTTCTGTTTTCGGTTTTTTTATTCCTTCCCACCGGTATACAAAGCTGAGTTCTAGAACTTGCGGGCCGTGCCTCTACGTCACGGATGGCCGGCCCTTTTCTCCCCCATTTGCGTCCGCTACGCCAGCCAAAACGCGCCTACGCAACAACCGAGGCCAAACATACTTTTTACCCAGCGTGGTCTACAGTTGCCCCGCCTAGCTGCCGAGCTACTTCTCGCAAGCTGCCTTTTGACCAGAGATGCCCCCCACCCCCAAAAAATATAAACAAATAGGGGGCCTGGGTGGTCTGTTTAGGGTTGCCTTTTCTGGTTTTTCTGTTCATCTCAAACCTGTTGACACCCTTCTTCGTTTTGTAAAGAGGGATTTTGGGGAGGTGATATATCGTTTTTGCTAGAGGTTAGACATTTGGGCTTGTTTCCCCTGTTTCATTGTTGGTCTGGGCAGTGACATTTGTTCATTTGAAAGAGTTAGGGCTTTTAGTAGTTAAATGTTCGGGGTGTTGGTGGTACATTTGCTTTGACAATGTTGTTGTCGTTGAAAGTTTTCTTATAGGTTATAATTCTAGTATAATGAAAGGTTAAAAAAGTTTATAATGTTTAATCAAGTTATAATTAATTAATCTTTTCAACAATCAACATTACCAAAATCGTTCTTGATATTCTTGTGTTGTAACCACTGGTTCATAACTAGTTCTCAACCATACTCTTCATTTGTTATATGTTTGGTGATTTTATTGAAACCTACCAATGCTTTTTAAACATATTTATCAATTACATGAATCAATCCTTCTTCATAGTCATTTTTGATAACTACAATGTTGTATAAGTTTTCGAACATATCATATCTTTCTTTGCCACATGTACTTACTTGGTTAACAACACCTATTGGAGGAAACCTACATCTTGTAAAATACCAGCAAATAAAACTTACATTGTCATTTTTTTCGAATGTTAAAGTCTTCTATGAAACTCTTTATTCATAAGTCATAGAATAGATGTACTTTCATCAAATGGCATTTGCACTGACAGGTTCTTCTCTCATTTGCCAGTTGGCGTTTTTCTTCATTGGATTCAATAAACTAAAGGAATTCATCAATGATGTCATTTTGTTCACCTTCAGTAAAATTATAATTATGTTCATTTTCTATTAAATAAGACTATATGTCTTTAATTAGCTTTTTAAAGTCTATTTAAGATCAAGTCCTGTGTGATGAGATGTTGTTATAATGTTTATGATGTTTAATCGTGTTATATCATGTTCTGGGGTGTTGGTGGTGCATTTGTTTTGACATCGTTCTTTTACAGGTTAAACTTTTTAGTATAATTATAGCATATAAGGGTATAAATGTTATAGTTACAATATTAATCGGTTGTGTATTTTATTTTCCTACTTGATTTTGTCACTTGTTTTATCATTCTAGATACGATTTCCTATTTCGTTTTTAAACCAGTCCAATGTTCTAATTGCGTCATTTCATGTATATTCAAATTCATCTAAGTCGTACTCACAACGTAAAAAGTCAAAGTCATCATTGTTTAAGGCTTCATATTCTAAAATTTCAGTGTTACAAGACATAATATATAATCTGTGAACAAATAATAAAAACTGAAAATAAAGCCATTATCATTCCCATCCTCGGCACCAGTGTATAATAGGTTATCAAAAGCCATCTATAGTCAAAAATTTATACATCTCAAACAAAACCCATATTTCCAAATCTTCATCAAGTGTCTTAACACTTCTAATGTCAATATCATCAACATCATCAATTTTGTTTATAATGTTTTTACAATTAGCACAACATAGATTGACAAATGTTATTGCAAACACCAATTAAAAACCCTGTTTAGTTGTTAGTTTAAGCATCGCACAGTCTTTACATTTGTAACTCATGAACAAAGATTTTTAGCAACAATGCCTTCACGGGTGTCATCACTATCACTATACTCACTATACTCACTATATACACTTTCTGTATCACTCTTCTCTATATATAAGGTGGTTTCTCTTTAAGTAGTTTTGGGTGGGGGGTTGCTGGTCGGCTGGTCTTGGTTTCAGGCTTACTTTAAATGTCTTAACTTTATTGTTAGATTAAAAACATGTTTAATCATATGATTGATAGAATAATATGAATAAACAACAGTTTAATTTGGTCCCATATTTAGTCTCATCAGCAATACAACCCACTATCATACCATACTCACATCAATAATGTTCATATCTTTTTATTAATTGGTCTGTGTAAGTTTCAACTAAATCACTTATTATGTGTCTCATATAAAAATCGTGTCTTATATATATCCCCACCAACCGTTTAGATTTGGCATGCACAACCCATAACGCATCATATGCTTAAATTTCTTAATATTAGTTCAATATTCTAGAACGCTTACAACTTCAACAATGTAATTTTTACAGCAATCTACGACCAAACTCACTACCCCCAAAACATTACCCCCAAAAACCCACATTTTCTGCTCCAGCGGACCCTTCAAACTGCTTGATGATTGAAATTATTAGCCTGCAGCTGCGTGGCGCCTAGAATGGTGAGTCCCTACCAGCACAGTTCTTCAGAATGGCTTAGCCTGGCGCCCGTCTACCTCGTGGCTAAAAGTGGTGCACTTTTGCGGTCGATTGTCCCGGTATTCGAAAAGCAATTTGGGGTTGTTGCCACCCACACCGACTCCGGAACTCCCGCACTATCCACATCGCCCAGTCAAACCCTACCCCCAAACCGCGCGTTTTGGGACTCACTACCCCCAAAACCGGGGATGTGGCGGTCCCTCCAACACGACATGATCAAAGCAGCAAACCAAACTGGCTGCCAAGAAAGAAAAGATTTGGTGTTCACCTTAAACAAAGATACCGCGGTGCACTTTTGCGGTCGATTGTCCCGGTATTCGAAAAGCAATTTTGGGGTTGTTGCCACCCACACCGACTCCGGAACTCCCGCACTATCCACATCGCCCAGTCAAACCCACTACCCCCAAACCGCGCGTTTTGGGACTCACTACCCCCAAAACCGGGGATGTGGCGGTCCCTCCAACACGACATGGTCAAAGCAGCAAACCAAACTGGCTGCCAAGAAAGAAAAGATTTGGTGTTCACCTTAAACAAAGATACCGCGCAAACCAAGCGTTGATGTTCACAAGTTTCAACCTCAAACTGATAGCAGCGAACCTGGATGAAACACATGCCGCAGCTCCAGAACTACCTGGCTTCTGCAGCCAAATATGCACAAATTGAGGTGCCTTCATATAGCCCTGATATAACCCTTTCCTAACCTTCATATGCCCTGTATATATGCATTGGCTTCTGGGCGTAGCGTTTTGGGGGTAGTAGCGCCTATTTTGTCCAACTTTTGACCTAATGAAGTATCCTGTGAATTATTGATAGTAATTATTGAACTAATTGTGTTTGTACTTCCTGCGTTTAATCCACTTAAACCATCTGATTGTAAAATACAACGAGCGTCAGAACCTGCTATATCTAAAATAGATGAACAAGAAAATAAACCTGATACTTGTAAATTACTTAATATTGTAGTATTGTGATTGAAGAATATTTTCTCATTTTGGAAAACTGAAGAGTTACTAATTTCTACATCACAAAAACCTCGCTGATTTAAAATCATCGTTGAACCTGTTAAACTTCCAGAAGTAAAACTATCAAAACAGTTGTTACATGTTTCAATAAACTTATGACAATTCTCAAATTCTGTTACTTTTAATGTTGGTGCGGTTGTTATATTGTGAATTAGCGTATTACTTAATGTTGATGTATTTAACTTGCCTGATAATGAATTAGTAGTTGCTGTGTGTTACGATAACCTGATTCATTACATGAGCCTCCATTCTGTAAACCTGATAATGCTGTGATATGTGAATTTACTGTGCTATTCAGTCCTAGTTCTTAAATTAGTCCTAGTTCTTAAATTAGACTTAGAACTAATATTATTAAAAACATATAGTACAATTTGAATTACTTACTAAATGTGTATTTGATGAAGTATGATTAATATTGTGTTGATTAACTTAGAACGAGAACTGGCATTATTAAAATTAGTTGTTATAGTAGAATTAAGATTAAATATTAAATGTGTGTTTGATGAAACAGCATTTAAATTTATATTTGAAGTTCTTGTCAGATTACCGGTTGAAAATGTAACTCATGAAGCATTAACTAAATTACTTGTTATGGTTGCTTGTATTGTTCATAATGAAATAAGCATTTGAACAAGAATTTTATAGTACATTTACTTCTGTTTTGTTGCACGATTGTGTTCTACCAAAAAAATCTCGTCAATCTGTGCTTCTGTGTAAGTGTTTATTTCGTCTGCTTTGTTGGGTAAATCAATTGTATCTGTTTGATTAGCATATATGCTTCTAATGTTTGTCACCCCGCTTGTAGAGTTGATTTCGCTAAGTGTGTGTGCTACAACATGTTCAAGTTTTGTTAAATTTGTTGAAGGCATTATATATTGATGTTAGGGAATGACATATTTATT